CATCGCTAGAATTCACGACTGGAGCCCCAGACCCCATCTTCCTGCGGCATCGAGCCGGATGGATCTGAAGGCCCGAAACGAGGCAAAACCGCCCGTCGTGAACACAGTGCATCAACAAGATCTCGGGGATGCCTGGGCATGGGAGGGCGAGGGAAATTTGAACGCCCGAAATGGGTAAGCAAAACATGTGTAAGATACCACAAAACAAAATGTTGTCCAAAACTGACAGCGACCACTGTTGGGCAGGCGGCGGCCTTCTACTATCTCAAATGGGAAACACGCCCACGGCGGCACCGACAACGAATCCGGTTCAACATGAGCAGGACCTGTCATCGGGCTTTGTACCCTTCCTTTCCGTACCCGTTGCGATAATGCGGGGAGGGATGGGGAGGAGGATGAGGATTTGGGCGGGACAGCACGGGGAGCTCCCGACGCCCATCGCCGGGGGCAAGCCAATAGGGGGGCAAGCCAAAAGGGTGGTGCGCAACTCATGGCCCGTGGCATGTGCGCGGACGGCGGGGGGGGGGGGGCAGAGGGCGTACTAAACAACAAAAGGCGCCGTGAAGTCAGGGAAGATCTGGTAGCCTTGGCGGTGATATGCGCCTTCACCTGGTCCTCCCCCTCCATTTGAGGGCAACACGCTGCGACCACTGCAACATGTATTCTTCAACACCTTGCTAACTCGTCGTCGTCGTCGTCGTCGGCGTCGTCGTCGTCGTCGTCGGCGTCGGCGTCGGCGTCGGCGTCGGCGTCGGCGTCGGCGTCGGCGTAGGCGTCGTCGTCGTCGTCGTCGGTGTCGGCGTCGGAGTCGTCGTCGTCGTGTTCCTCGTCGTGTTCGTCGTCGTCGTCGTCGTGTTCGTCGTGTTCGTCGTCGGCGTCGTCTGACCCGCACGCACGCGAGCCCGCGGATGCGACGGCGACGGCGACGGCGACGACGACGACGGCATCGACGTTCCCCGGGGGCGCACCGAAAGGTGGCTCCAGGCTGCGGCAGCGGGCTTGAGCCAGTGCCGGCTTGCGCGGGGGCACGAGCGCGCCGCGGGCGCGCGGGGGGAGTGCGGCGTGGCGGGGAGACTGGGTTTTGCGTGCTCAGCGGGAGGGCATCATGGAGTAGGTCTTTGTGTCACTGTTCCGATTCAACGGCGGTCGTCTGGAAAAGTTGGACTCGTGCATTCGGACGTTGCTTGAAGCCGTCGACGCAACGCCAACGTCATCGGAATCGGGATGCAAAGCGCTTGCGGTTTGTCATTGCAAAGCACATCACATCGCCATTCGCAGCACTGCAGATTTGTCATATTTTCGGGCTCGGGGGGCTTTGGTTGGGCTCCCGGCCAGTCAAAGGACGACTCGGGACGTAGAGCCAGTCCAGGGGAATGGGCCGAGACACCTGGGGCCCCTGTTGTGATAAGACACGACATCGGGGGTCTGGGGTGTCACGCCAAGTCGTGTGGCCGGCCATAAACATCGGGGGCGCGCAAACCTGGATTAGCGATCCATGGATTTGGTGCGCGGTCGCAAAATCCATGGATCGGGGGAAGTGCCCTCTCCAAATGCGGCCCGTGCCGCCTCGTTCGGCGGCGAAAATCCACGATATCCAATGGAAACGGGACCCATCGCTAATCCACGCCCCCTTGATCCATGTTGGCGATCGCCTGAAGAAAGGGTTTCGGTGCAGAGACGCCCCGGCTTCCCAGCCTGTAGGATGCTGGAGCGCACCTAATCATGCCGAACGCCTTCGCAGAGTCCACTTTGCCAGCGGGCACAGGGGGCGTGGGAGAAGGGGGAGAGGTTTCTTAGAAGGCGGCTGCGTCCAGCCTCAGACACCGCTTCCAAGACTGCCCGCTGTTCCAGCAGGAGCGGATGCAGATCGCGCGCGATCTTGGGCTTTCAGCGACATTGTGGCGCACCCAGCCACGGGTGACTACCAAATCGGGTTGGATCACATACCGGGCGGGCTGGACCGCTTCCCGAAGAGTTACGATGAAGGTGGCAGCTTGCCGCCTCGGCATAGCCATCCTGGCTGACCTAAGCGTTGGTGACCTGGACTAGAAGCCGCCTTCACAGTATCACAACAGTGTTAGGGATGTTGCTGTCACCACCTCACCCCACCCCAATACTAATCATGCGCTGCGCCGCTGAACTTCGGAGCTAAGTAGAGATCTGATTAATTCGATGCTGTGAGCCATCAGAGATGAGAATGAACGCCCCTTTCTCCACCAGGAGGCCTGCCGCATATACACCTGCGTAGTGATCGCACAAGCCGTGGCCAGCCCAACGAGGAGCGTGAACACTGGGCGTAACATGAGCCGCAAAACTGCACCAGGGAGGGGCGGAGGAGGGAGGACGGGGAGGTGTGGGGGCGAACACAAAAGCAGAGAAAGAAACAACTCTTGCTCCCTTCACCCCCCGGTCCCTGCCGGCCCTTGTCTGCGAATTACCTCCACGTATCTCCCGTTCCTTCTCTCTCTCTCTCTCTCTCTCCCCTCCACCTTCTCACACCTCGCTCCCGCCCCTCCTCCTGCCCCTCCCCCCTCCCTTCCTCCATCCCCCTCCTCCCTCCCCCCCCTCCCCCCTCGCACCTCCTCCCCCTCCTCCCCCCTGTTCCCTCTCCCTGTTCCCCCTCCCTCCTCCCCCTCCTCCCCCTCCCTTCCTTCATCCCCCTCCTCCCCCCTGTTCCCTCTGGCCTCGTTCTCGCATCCCGCTTCCACTTCTTCGGCCTTGCGTTCCCCTCGTTTATCTGTCGTGGAAGGGCCATGTCATCGCAACGCACGGCCAATGTTAGACTGGGCAAGGTTCTCGCGGAGGATGAACGGGGGAAGAGGGGGATGACAAGCAGCTGGGACGGAACTTAGCAGCGTCAGGAGCAAGCGCAGGGGGAAAGAGGGTTACCAGGAGGCGGCGTAACAACACATGCGAGTAGAGGAGGGGGGGGAGAACGAGGAAGAGGTTGGCCATGATAACAGGGACTGTCCCCCTTGTGGGGGGAACGACAAATCCGCCGACCCCCTTGTGGGGTCATCAGGCTGGTCATCAGGCTGCGAGAGTTAGGCTTGCTGATCCCCGCTCCAACTCCAGTTTCAAGTCCCTCATGCTGTAGCTCTACTTCCTACTTCCTACTGCAAATGGCGACCGTCCGCGCAAGAGGAAGGATCCCCAAACCGCCATTCTACCACGCCCCCCCCAGGACCAGAATTCCGTCGGGGGGGCCGTGGGACACGTGCAACTATGTAAATGCTCGCGCATAGCTCAATGTTCGTGCCCCCGAGGCCACGACCCCTTGTGAAGTACAGAATGCCCGAGCCAACGAGGGGGCGGTCCCTTGTACATGGCCATCTGTGCTCGCCCCTGACGCCACAATCCCTCGTGCATTGCGCAGCATGCGCGCCCCCGAGGCCACGAACCCTTGTAAATTCGCCGGCCCAACGGGCCAGAGGCGTGCTAAGATCTCCGGTAACTACTAACAATATTTATAGTTCGCGCGCGCGGGGCGGCCCCTGGGGGCCCCCGGACGAAAAATACCCCGGCCGATCCCCGGGAGGCAATTTTTCGCCACCACTCACGAGGATTGTGGCCTCCGAGGGGGTGGCTGCAATCGACTACCCCCTCTCCTGCCACAAGGGGCCCACAAGAGCCCCCCAAGAGGCCCCAGGGGAGCCCAAGACGCCGCCGAGGAGCCCCAAGAGACCCCCAAGAGGTCCCTAGGAGGCCTCTTGCCCCCAAGAGGCTTCAAAGAGGCCACATAGAGCGCTCGAGGGCCGGAGGAATGAGCGAAGCGATTAAATGACATCCACTTCGCGTCGCCGAAACTACTGTTCCTTGTAGATTTACAAATGCTCTCGCGCTCCGAAACCAAGACCCTTCGTAAACTCACGGCAGTCGCGTCTCCGAGGATCCGCTCCATGATAAATCATACTAGATTCGCGCCCGAGGCCACGCTCCCTTTCAAACGGCAACCTCCTCGCGCCTCCGAAGCTACGATGCCTTGTAAAAACTGTGTTCGCGTTCCCGAGGCCACGTTCATTTGCGAATTGTAACGGGTTCGCAACCCCGAAGCAACGGTCCTGTGTAAATTCTACAATACTCGCGCCCCCGGGGCCACGACCCTTTGGAAATTACACTACGCTCGCATTTTCGAAGCAACCAACCATTGTAAATTACATGGTCTCCGCGCCCCATTGGCAACGAACCCCAGCAAATCACTCACGAGTCGCGCCTCCGAAGCAACGATCCCTTGCAAAGTAGGGAATAAATCAAGAAAGGCCCGCGTCGACGCCACGATCTCGGATGAACTGCGGCGTACTCGCGCCTCCAAGGACACGATCCCCGGTAAGTTACACGATGTTCGCATCCCCGAAGCCACTGTCCTTGGCAAAAATACAATGGAAGCCAGTCCACAAGAAACCTTCCACAAGAAACCCAACCCTGAGACCCCAGGACGTCCATGAAAGTTTGGTGTGGGAACGTCACGCCTCCAATAGCCAAACCATCGAATCCCAAGAAACCCAGGGCACCCTGGAGGCAAGCAGGGTGTTTCTTGGCATGGGCCTCTCAAAGACAGTCCAAGCCGCGCGACTTTGCCCAACTTCGCATCAAGCAGCCCCGCATAGTTCCAAGGGGGCCTCCAATACACAGCGTGATCGGAATTTCGGAGAAAAACAAAACTTAACAAATCCATCTGGATCTCGGCTTCTTCTCGAAGATTACGTGCCGCCCTCGCATGAAATGCCGGAATTGCTGGACGACGGCGCACAAACATCCCAACATAACTCCTGCCTACCGCATTCTGGTAGAGAGGGCGGCAGAGGGCGAAGCCCTTACGGACAACCAAACAGACCTTTCCCGATGCCAGCAGAGGAACCAACTAACCGCAGCTGCTCCAGCCCCGGCGCCAGCAGAAAAGGGCTGCAGAAACAGCAAAAGCAGCGGCGGCCACGGCGGCAACGCCGAGGCCAACTTTGTGCGCGCGCAAGCGGGGAGATTGGCTGTCGTCGGCGGGTATCCTAAGGGCACCTCTCGGCGAACACATCGGAGCCTCTCTCTTCGTAGTCGGCCTTGGTGACCCAGAATTCCTGCGGGGTCCCAGCTGGGAGGGGCGAGAAGGCAGGAAGGGAAATTGGATGCAGGAGGGGATTCGCGTCCAAGAGGGAACACATGGCGGAAGGGGAGAAAGGGAATGATGATAAGGGAACGGTGGAACGGAGGAGGAACGCGAGGGAAGAGGACGGGAGGAGGAGGAGGAGGAGGAGGAGGAGGAGGAGGAGGAGGAGGAAAGAAGAGGAGGACGGTGGAGAAAGATGGAATGGTATGGTGGAGGTAAAGAACAGAAGAAGGGCGGGAGGGGTCAGGGGTCTGAGGGCCCGCTTCCCTCATAACGAATCCCCCCAGCCCTTTGGGCGTAGGTGATCTAACAATTTGATCTTCTTTCATAACGCCCCTTCCGGGGAGGGTACCCTGCACCTCCCCTACTAGTACCATACCCCTTCCGTCCCTGAGGTTTTGATTTTTGGGGCGCAAGGTGGCGCTCGAGCGGCGTGACGTCTGTGGTGACAAAGAGTTGGAGGTTGCTGCAAAGTGAAAATGCCCTTGAAGCTTCTCCTTGAGGTATACCTAGTCGGCACCCGTTCCAAGTATGAAGCGGGATTTCTTCACTGTGAAAGTCAGCATTGACGTATTAGGTCGTACGCGACTGTGGCCTCTCCATGAAGTATCTCCGTGTGGGTTCCCTTGCCAGGTATGAGGCGGGCCGTATGGCCCTTTTGTGGCTGGCTCTGTTGCCTCTCACTAAAACATGCTCTCATCCTCACCCTCCTCTTCCTCCTCCTTCTCCTCCGCCGTTTCCTCTTCCTCCTCCTCCTCCTCCTCCTCCTACTGCTCCTCTCTCCTTTCTCCTTGGTCCTTCCGCCTTCCTCTTTCCTCCTCCTTCTCTTCCTCCTCCTCCTCATCTTCCTCCTCTCCCTCCTGAGAGGGAACGGGAGTGGAATGAGCGCCCGCTTCCCAACGCTCAACGTCGCCGGGGGTCCTCGAAGGAGCCCAGACTCGCCAAGATGGCCGCGCCGGTCCTGAGCCGTTCCCCCTCCCTGCCCCTGCACACTCCTCATTTCTTTTCCGTAAAGAGAACTTGCCCCTGTCGTATTACTGAATATGCAGGCCTGGCCAGGCGTTTCGCCTGAAACTTCCTGGCCAACTAGGATTCTGAAGTCTGAAATATGCAGCAGCCTCAAGGATGGAGCCTGGGAGGTGTTCAACATGTGGTTTTCGACTTGGCGCCGCGCACGCTCGTTTGAAACACTTGCCGAAGCTTCAAATATGGAACGCGGGTGATTATCCAAAAGTGGCTCTTGCCTTGGCGCCGCGCACGCCCGTCGAAAACACTTGCAACAACTTCAAGGGTGGACCCCGGGTGGTTTTCAAAATGTGGTTCATGCCTCAGTGTTGAGCACGTCCATACGACCCAAACCTCACCATCCCATACATGAAATACGATTACGCACGCATCCATCCGATCCAACCCTCACAATCCGATGCAAAACAACTAAGGTATACGAGGAGGCCTGTGCGACCCTTGCCATTGCTCGGACAACCATCCTGTGTGCATGCTTCGGTTTCGTGTGTCCACCTTCCTGTGATGATCCCACATGCTCCTCGACGGTTCTCGCCGAGGAAAGATGCACACATCCGAGATATGCCGAGGGAATTGGCGATGCATCGCCGAGGGGCCCCCGATGGCACAACCGCACACTCTGAGTATCGTTTAACTGATCCCCATCCCCAGCGGCGTGGCCTGGGCCCCACTGGGCGATTTCCCCCCCTAGATGGGGATATAGGCCGTTCCCTTTGGGTTTCGAGGGGTGTGGCCCCAACTGGGGTGGCAATTTGGTGGGGCCTCGAAAGGGATGGGGATGGGGATGGGGACCGGTTAAACGATACCGACGCTCCAGGGCACTGGCGGGCTGCCAGTCGGGGCCCTCTCCGCGAGCAGCAGGCTCCTCCTCCTCCTCCTCCTCCTCCTCCTCCTCCTCCTCCTCCTCTGGGGGGGGGGGGGGGTCATGCCCTTCCCCCCGAGAGCCCACCCGCCCCTCTGGCGTCGCCCCCCGTGGGCTTCGGGCCCCAGCTCGGCTCCCCCCGGCGGCCGCGCGGGACGCGTCTCGGGCACCCCCCGGGGAGAGCTCTCGACGAGGCGCAGCTGCCGGACACCACCCCCGGGCGCCAAGCACCGGCGAGACGGCCGAGCACGTTCGGACACGACGGAGCATGTTAGGCAACGTCCTGACGTTCCCCTCGAATGTTGTCTCTGACTCACAATACCGACGACGACGACGAGACCTACCCCTCGTTCTGTGTCATTTTGCTGGCTCTTAGGGATCGACGCACATCGACGCCAATCGACGCTAGTCGGCGCTAATCCACGCTAAACCGTCGCCAAATAGACGCCAATCGACGCAACATCGACGATTTCTCATCGACCACCAATCGCTAGCGCACACACGGAATTTCGAGATCACACAGGACTCCCATGAACTGCTACCGAATCGCAGGACTGCCATGAACTGCTACCACATTTCGTAGCAAGGAAGGGTGTCACAACCCTCCCACACGAACAATTTCAGACTCCCGACCCCCACCCCCAGACAAGCCGTAAAAGGGCTGCCTTTTGTCCAGACTCCCCAGAAACCTCCAAGACGGCCCAGATCAGCCCCCTCCAACAAATCAGACCCCCCCACACTCCTCTGCTCGCAATCGCTCGGACGTCCAATGCCCATGCATGTTTCGGCTTCGTGTGCTCATTGTTTTGTTCGCAGGGTGACCAGGGATGCTCCTCGATGGTCCTCGCGGAGCAAAAATGCACACGTCCGAGCGATGCCAAAAATAAAGAACGGAACATCCCCCCCGCACTGCATCATCTCGACCGTCCGACCGACCGTGTCCTGGATGTGTCATCCGAGGTGTGCCAAATACCGTGATAAAGGGGTGTTTTGAAAGGCCTCCTGGAGAACGTCATGGTGGTGTCCTTGCCGAGGACCTGGATACACACGCAGGAAGACGTACTCACGGGTGCCCTGGATGCCCGAGACTCATTAGAAGAACAAAAAGCAACACAAAGTGTAGGGGACCAACAAAACGGCGCTCCGCGCGGATTCCTTGAATCTGCGCTGGAGCCCCCCCCCCGCCTGGCGCGCGGAACGCGCCAAGGGCGGCGCCGGATGCGCTGCCGGGGGGGCCCAGCGCGGATCCAAGACATCTGCGTGGAGCGCCCAACGTTTGTGTTTATGCAGTTATTCCTTCGACTCGTTTGGACAAGCGCGATCCACAGCGCGCGAACGAACTGCTCGCAAACGGCCTGGATTCGCCGCAGGGATCTACGATACCTTTCATCGAGGAAGACTTGTTTTTTTCGCGGACGCTTGCGAGGAGGCACTTTGCGAGCAGTGGAACGCGCTCGGTGATCACTCCGACCGTCCGACCGACTGGCGCCGCCGCGGCGAGCGCGCGGGGGCTATCCTGCCGCTTGCTGTTCTTCGATCCTGCCCACCCGCCACGAGCCACCTCTCCCTCGAACTTCCAAACTCGGCTCCAGGGCGGCCCAGCGCGGATCCGAGAAATCGGCGCAGAGCGCCAACAGTTTATAAGTTATGCCGTTGTTTTTTTCTTCGACTCATTGTAATAGGGCAGAACCTCCCCCCCCATTACAATCACCCCGACAAGCGAAGCCGTTTAGTAAACGCACAGGGAAAACATCGAACAGGGCAGGGCTCCTCAGTCAACGCGCATGGCCGTCTAATAAACGCCAATTGTAGAGGTCTGGGTGGTTTCCCTCCCGTGAATTTCGACGAGCGCGTACCACTAATTACTCGCAAAGTAACTGCTCGCAAATGGCCTGGATCCCCCGCAGGGGGATCTGCGATATGAATTGCATCAGAGCAGACAAGTATTTTTCTCGGACGTCTGCGAGGAGGCACTCTGCGAGCAGTGGAACGCGCTCGGCGAGAATTCCAGCCGTCCGACCGAATGGCGCCGCCGCGGCGCGCGCGCGGGGGCTCTCCTGCTGTCTGTTGTTCTTCGATCATGCCCACCCCCCACGGGCCACCCCCCCCTCGAACTTCCGAAACTCGGCTCCGGGTGTTTTTCCTCCCTCGACTCCCCGCCGTCCGACCGACTGGCGCCGCCGCGGCGCGCGCGCGGGGGCTCTCCAGCTGCCGAACTCCAGCGGCGCGGCGCCCGCCGGCGGCCCCGCGCTGCCCGCCGCGGCGCCGCCGCCGCTGCGCGCCCCGCCCCAGCAGCGGGGGCCGCCGTCGGCCTGGGGCCGCCGTCGGCCGGCGTGCGGTGCCCTCGCGCGGTGCCGCCGTCGGTCGGTGCCGTCGGCGTGGTCGTCGGCGCCGTCGGCGTCGACGGCACCGTCGGTGTCGTCGTCGTCGCTGCCTTCGTCGGGGCGTCGCTGTCAGCGGCGTGGTCGCCGTCGTCGCCGTGGTCGTCGTCGTGGTGGTGGTGGTCGTCGGCGTCGTCGTCGGTGCGTTCGTTGGGGCGTCGGTGTTGGCGGCGTGGTCGCCGTCGTCGCCGTGTCCGGAGGGGGATGGGGAAGGGAGAGGAGGGAGGGGGCGGTGGAGAGAGGGGGAGGAGGAGGCAGGAGGGGGCGATGGATGGGGGGGATGGGCAGGAAGAGCAGGGAGGAGGCTGGATAGACGGGGGATGAGGGGATGGGGTGAGGAGGGGAGGTCGGAATAGACCCAACACACAACCAAAAGCTGTTTCACTTCGAGGTAACGCCTGAACCCCTTTTACGCAAGAAAGCACAAGAACCCCAAAAGCTGGAAACATATATACCATCCTGGCACACCGAATAATCCAACGATGGCTAGGGCGCCAAACGAACCTGGATATCTGCTCCAAAGGTCAGCCTCCGCTGTCCTAACTGCAACCTCTTGCTTTCCTCTTCCACCACTTCCTCCCCCAGTCCACCACATCCTCTCCTCCTCCAGCACCACCTCCTCCTGCGGATCATCCGCAGCTTCTATTGCCTTTCCTCTGGTACTGTTCAATATCCCTTCTCATACTGTAAAAGAACACAGCATAAACATCCTCGGGGTTCTTGGGTCTGAGCTGGGCCTCCCTCCCTGGCGCGCTGAGCGCGCCAGGGGTGGCGCTGGAGGCGCCCCCAGGGGGCCCGGCGCAGATCCAAGAAATCCGCGCGGACCGCCAACAGTTTATATCTATGCCGTGGCTTGTTCTCCGATCCTCCAAACTTCTCTCGGGGGCTCGCAAACATGGATTGGGGGAGGTGCCCTCCCCAAAACGCGGCTGGTGCCGCATCGTTCGGCGGCGGAAATCCGCGATTTCCTATGGGAACTAGACCCGTCGCTAATCCACGCCCCCTTGATCCATGTTTGCGATCGCCGGACCAACTTCCCGACCCACCCGCCACGAGCCGCCTCCCCCTCGACCTTCTCATCTTGCCTCCTCCATGCATCCTCATCCGCCCGCCTCCGCCAGCCACGGCTCGCGCACGCCCCGCAGCTCCGCCTCGACCCGGTCCGCGAAGCCTCTCCCGGCCCAGAAGGCGCGGTCGGAGCAAGTGCCCCTCCTCCGCTTGTCGGAGGCTGTGCGAAGGCTGGCAAACAGGGCTGAACCAAAACGGTGTTTTTCGTTTGCGTTTTGTTTTCGTTTTATCTCGTTGATTTGTCTTCAATCCACCTCTACCGCAAAACGAAATCGAAACAAGAACGGCCCACGAAATCACCAAAACACCGTTTAGGTCCAGCCCTGCTGGCAAATCCGTGGCTGCTGAAACGTGCTTCCCGGAAAGAAACAAAAAACAGACTCCCGGAATAAAACTCAGCGCACTAAATAATACACGGGTTGCTTCCCGAAAGAAAGAACAATTACACTAAGGAAAAAACTTCATCAATGGATTGATTTCGCTGAGGGAGGAGATCGACCCGGAATCCGGGAGCCCGGGAACCCAAACCTGCCGAAATCGGCCAGGAACCAATAACCGAGAACCCGGAAACCCGGAACCGTTACCCCGGGAACCCAGCCTGCCACCAGAATCGGCGGGAAACGTTCGCCACATCTTTCAACTTCCGCCAGGACCCCCTTCAGTGCAAGCACTGATTGGGGAAATACTCCCGAAATGTGCAAAAATGATCAAGAGTTGCCTTGCGCTGATGTGATGTCCGATGCGCTGCGCCTTTGGGGAATGCAAGCGCTGATTGGGGAGTTTCCCAGAGCTCCGTTTTAGCAGCCATGGGTTTGCCAGCCTTCGCCTGGCTTCCGAGCTTGGCCTCCTCCTCTCCACTCGCCATCGCTCCTCGAACGTCCCCTCCCCGTGCACTTTTCGGCTTCGTGCGTGCACGTCTCCGCGAAGTGTTGGAGGCCTGGAGATAGGCACCAACACCAACACGGGGGGTTGCCTCCACAGTGGGAAGATGCTCGTAGATTTCGGTGTTGGTGGTAATATTTCGGCCACCGTGGAAGCCAGAATATTCCACCATCACCGAGATCGGGATCTTCTTCCCTGTGTGGAGGCACACCGCCGATATTGGTGTTGGTGTCACTCTCTAGGCCTGCGATTAAGTAATCCAAGATGGTCCTGGACGGTCCGCGTCGAGAACGGATGCACGCACGTCCGAGCGATGCCAAGTCCAGAGGGGCAACAGGACGGCGACCACAGAACCTCTTGGAGCTCCTCACTGGTGCGCGGAGCGCGCCAACGGCGGCGCCGGAGGCGCCGCCAAGGGGGCCCAGCGCAGGTCCAGGAAATCCGCGCGGTTGTGCCGGGCTTGTACAACTGAGCTCCAAACGTCATTCGGGGACAAGCCAACGGGGAACGCCGAGGCTGTTCCCCGAGTGGCTTGTCCCAAGCGTGTCACCGAATGTTTGCACAACGGCGTTTCCCTAATGGCTTGTCCAAGCGTGTCCACGAATTGCTTGTCGAAACAGTTTGCCCGCGAGGCTCCATTTTGCACAACGGAGCCCGAAAAATTGTATGTTTGCGCAACTGTTGCTCCTTCGATCCACTCTGTCCTCCTCTATCCGTCCCTCGTCAGGGCTGAACTTGAGAGTGGCGGAAGCGTCTGGGCTGAACTGCAAACCCTAGCTCTGTGGCCCAATGGATGAGGCATCAGTATACGGTAGGCGGGGGAGGAGGGGCAGGAGGATGAGTGCGATGCAGGGGAGGCAGGAGGAAGGAAGGGGGAGGAGGCAAGGGCCGGGGCAGTGGCAAGGAAGGGGGAGAGAGGAGATAGGAATGATGCAGTGCGTCGGAAAGGGGGCTGGATGGGGGAGGAGAGATCGACTTCAATGAGGACGAGGACGAGGAGGAAGATACAAGGAAGACAGGCAGGAACTGGGGGACTGGCTGCGTCAAGCTCGCGACGGAACGACCCTGGCGTCGGTTCCTGACACCGCCGGGAGCGTTCAATCTTGAACGTCTGGTCATTTCCGGAGCGTCAGATCGTTCAACATCGACCGATCTCTAGAGCCGCCGGCGACGTTCCAGGTTGAACGCCAGCGGCGGTGCCATCGCCGGTCGACAGGACGCGCACCTGTCGCAGGTAAAGGTGACCGCTGGTGCGCAGCTCGAGGGGGCGGGACCCCGAACGCGCGAGCAAATGCTGGGGCGGGCCCGTCGGGCCCGCACCAACAACCGCTGCGGCGAAGGGTCACTCTTACGCACAGCCGGGGGAACAGGAGGGAGGGATGACGGAGGCATCAGGACGGAGGAGGCAGGAAGGAGAGGGGAATGAAAACGTCTCCTGTCCCTCCTGGTCCTCAGCCTGCTGCTGCTTCGCCTCACCCATCGGCTTCCAGGCACAAGTGTAGCACGAGACACAGGCATGCAAATTGGAGACACACCTACCGATCTCATGATGTATCTCCAGCCCTCCAATCTGCTGAGCGTTCCCGTCAACCCCTCCGTCGGATCGAGAGCATCCTCCCGTCAATAAAATGCAACGTCGAAGCTGCTTCGGTGTCACGGGAAGGTGCGTCTCATCTTTGGCCGTCACGCATGCGACTATCATCCACTGTAGTCCGCGGTAGGCCTGAGTAATCGCGACAGGCAGCAACTGCATGTGAACAGAGAAAAACGTAGACACAAGTCATGCAACAACGGGTACGCAATGCTCAACAACGACTCGTGCTGCATCCGACAGAACAGGCCATCGAGTGGAGGTGGGGCCTGAGACAACGTACACAAATCACGAATGCAAGCATACCAAGCGACGACAACGGCGATCGTGACACCGCGCGAACAAGCTGCGACAATCACGGAGCCGATCGGAACGGCGGACGAACTCACACGAACAACGCTCGAATAGAGAACTGTATGGCGATGATTCAGACCTGGACGCGGACATTGACCGAATCATGTGCCATATGTCATGGCGGAGCCAAACAACAAGGCAAGTGGAGAAGGAAGGTAAAGAGGGGGGACGGCGGGGCGGAGAAGGGGTTCAAGGAAGAGCCAACGGGGGGGAGAGGAGGGGAGAGGGACGGAAAGGTAGAGTAAGACTGATGAAGGAACTGGCAGGAGAGAGTGAGGGGGAGGAGAGTTCGGGGTAGGAAGAGGAAGAGCACGTCAGGCGGAGCGAAAAGGGCTGCTGCCATTCATTCTCGCCTGCTCTCGTACTCCCCTCTTCCTCCTTCTCGCGGGGGAGGAGAGAAGAGTGAGCGGAGTGTGGGAGCGAGAACGATGCTCGGTGGGGAAGGAGGGACTGGGGGATGGAGGGGAAGCGGGATGGGATGAGAGAGAGAGGAGGGGGCAGTGAGAGAGAGGACGAGTGCGAAGGGGGCAAGGGAGAGGGGGAGAGAACGAAGGCGAGGGCAGAGGTAGGGGAAGGGCGGGACATTTGTTTTGTTTTCCTTTTTATGCTCCCTCCCGAAAGTCCTCTTCCTCGACTGTTCGTGTGCCAGACGCAAGAGTTCACTCATAACTCATGGGGACAGTCGTGCTGCAAACTGCACATTTCGTCTTCGATTCCGACTACCCGGGCGAGACCTCGGCGGGCACAAAGGCGCGCGTGGCGGGCGGGCGAGGCTCCATGGACGATCGATTCCAGGGGAGGCCCTGAGAAGCCCGACACACTCATGGTGAACAGGGGTCGCATGTTCTACAGCATTGCCGCGGAACAAATCCCCTCACATCCGCGCTCCTCCTCCTCCTCCTCCTCCTCCTCCTCCTCCTCCTCTTCCTCCTTCTCATCCCAGAACCGCGGCCGCGGCGGCGGCGACGACGATATCGACGGCGGCGGCGGCCGCACCGACGGCGCCGGCGGCGGCGACGACCACGACCGCGACGACCACGTCCACGTCCACGTCCGCGACCTCGACGACGACGACGACGACGACGACCACGCTGTCGACATCAACGATGATGACGGCGGCAGCGGCGACACCGACAACGGCCACGCTGGCGCCTCACCGCCGCCCACCCGCCGCACCGCCAGCGGTCGGCCGGCGCCCGCTGGGGGCGCGCAGAACAACGGCTTTACCGCCTCGCCGCGCCCGGTCGCCGCCGCCGCCGTGGTCGCCGAGGCCGCTGTCGTGGACGCAGTCGTCGTCGCCGTCGTCGAGGTCGCGGTCGTGAAAGTCGTGGTCGTGGTCATGGTCGTCGCCGTGGTCGTCGACATCGTCGTCGATGGCGTGGTCGTCGTTGCCGTTGCCTTCGCCGTCGTCCTCGTCGTCGTGGTCGCGGTGGTGGACGTGGACGTCCTCATGCTTGCAGTCGAAGTCGTCGTCGTGGTCGTGGACGCTGTCGTCGTGGCCGTCACGATCGGCAGACGACGGATGAGGAAGGAGGTCAAGGGAGGAGGAGGAGGAGGAGGAGGAGGAGGAGGAGGAATAGGAGAAGGGCCGAAGCGGGAGGGCGAGGACCGGGAGAGGAAGGAGCAGGAGGGTGGAGGAGGAGGGGGAGGGACGGCGGCTTCGTTTGTTCCTCTGTGTGGGTTCCCAGACCTCTCGACCCCCTCACCAGGGACTCTTTTTTTACTCGGGGTCGTTTTAACGGCGCCGAAGCCGACACTGGCCCCCAGGAGGCCAAACATGGCGCCGCCTCGACTTTTCCGCCGAGGCGGACCAGGGACGAAAAGGCGAAGCGAGGCAGGAGGGAAGGGCGGTTGTCACTGCATCAGGGAAACGCGTCCCGAGCATGACAACACGCACCACGGCCACGTCCACGTTCGGGGAGACGTCAGACTCGGGTACGGGGGACTCGGGTTGGCCCGATGGGACCATCATAAAAACGACGAGGCCCAATCTGAAATTTGACGCGAGCTCCCGCTGCAGACATCCCGCGAAAACTGGACCGTCCACATCCAGGACGCGCTCGTCAAAAACGCGCCGGCAAGCCCGAGTTCCGGCTTGCTGGGGCCTTGCGGTTTCCCCGACGCGTCCGCGACGCCGACGGAGACGAGGCGCGCTAACAATGCGTGCCGAAGAACGGATGAACACGCTGCGAGGTCTGGTACACCTCACGTTGAGCGGTGCTGCGGCCTCTCCCGGAGCACGAGCCTCCCCATCCGCCCCCTGCTGGCCATCGCTCGGACGTCCATTCCCTGTGCTTTTTTCGGTGTCGTGCGTGGTTTTTTGCCAAATGATCAAGGATGCTCCTCGATGGCCCTCGCCGAGAAAAACTGCACACGTCCGAGCGATGCCAGGCCTGGAGCAGCAGCCGGACATTTCGAGCTTCTAAGCCTCGTGCCCTCTCTCCCCGAACCTCGTCAGCGCCACCGGCAAGGAAGAGGGCGGCGGATGCAGACGCGTCCCGCAGCTAAGATCAAGGTCGGGCATGCCCCCCTACAGAGGGATGGTGGACAAGCAATTGAAAATACTCAACAAATACTCCCAAATGATCAACATATTTTAAAACATGCCCCCGTATTATTTTTTGACTATGATTGAAGATTCCTCCTGTAGAGGGACGCGCCCGACTTAAGGCTAAGACGCTGCAAGCGTCGCGGCTCAGAGACCCCGGGAAAGGCAGCAGGCAGACGGGCGGGCGGGCGGCCAGGCGGCGCGCGGTGACTGGCACGCCGAGTGGATATAGACTCCCTGCGCAAGGAAAGATGTCCCGAGCAGGATGCAGGACAGGTGGGAGGTATCCGGGAATTCGGGCCCCTGACGCAATCAGTCAGAGCCAGCACCTCACTTACACAGAGCCTGTGGCCTCAAGACCCTGCCGAAGAGGCCCAACTACACACGCCCCTCAGCAATGCTGGGGCACGGGCCACACAGCCTGGCACCGCTCAAGGAAACGAGGAAGGCTCACGAAGACAACGATGCGGGCAAGACGCGTATCCATATCCAATGTGTATTGGAGTTTCGGGCTCCCTTTCCCAAAAACACGCCAAGCGCAGATGACATGGATCAACATCTGGCCCCTGAAGGCTACATCTTTATTCATATCCACTGCGCCTCGGCCTCTGTTTGATGTTGTCGTCGTCCCGCCCGCGACCCATCCGCGACCCACCCGCGACCGGCCCGCGACCCACCCGCGACCCGCCCGCGACCCACCCGCGACCTTCCCGCGGGACCCAGCCCCCGTGCCCGCCCCCTGCGGGGTGCTGCATCCAATCCTGCTTGCAGGCGGGGGAAGGCGGCGGAGGCTGGCAACAGGCCTGGGCGGCCAGGTCGAGGCCGGTGCCGTCGGGCAGCGACACCTTCGCCGCGCCCTCCGGCGACGGGCGGGGGCGACCGCTTCGCCTCTCCTCCGCCCCCCCCCGCTCGGTGCTGCGCCTTCCCTGGCCCTTCGCCGCCCTACTAGTACCCCCTCCCTCGTGCTCGTGCCTCTGGCCGTCCCCAGCACCCGCCGTGCCAGCACACCCGCCGTACTGGTACCTCCTCCCTGGCCCTCGTGCCCCCTTCGGCAGCACCTCGCCCAGAACCTCCCCCCCGTCTCCCCCCCCCCCCCTCGTGCTCGTCCTTGCCCGCCTCGGCCTCGTGGCCATCCCGCCGCCGCCCTGTTTTGCTCGCTCACCCGTCGAGTCGGAGGCCTCCGCGGTTTGCTTGACCCACCCCTCCGCAGTGTGCTCTTGCTCCTCCTCTTCCCCCGCCACCTCCTCCCTCGTCCTCCGCCACATCCTTGTTCGCCTCGCCCCTCCTCCCTCCCCCTCTCCCTGCTACTGCTGCTTCTCTCCTCCAAGGCGGGCGGAGGCAGCCGATGTGATGGAGGACGGAAGGGGTAGAGGACGTGGCACGAGGGTGAGCTGGGGCAACCGATGAGGACGAGGTCATGCTCCTCGTAATGCTGCCCCCTTCTTTTCGCGAGGACGCTACTCGATGAAGCACGCCTATCTCTTGCAATGTTTAGCTGAAGAACTGGGCACTGACGGGTGGGCGATGCCAACGAGAGACCTCACCGACACGGCGTTCTGGAACCATCGTTGCGCGACTGGCTCTGGGGCTCGCTTTGGCCCCTACATGGTCCTGCCATTCCCCATTATCCCCTCACCTCCTCTGTCTGCTTCCTAACCAGATTTTTCCCCACTCTGCCCATGCACATCCTCCGCCTTCCCTGATCCTCTTCCTACGTCCCAGATCCTTACCTATAGGCCTATAGGTCCTCCTGGTAGCACCGCCAGGCGTGTCGTTCGGGCTGGCATGGTGTTCCGCCTGGGACAGCCTCACAACTTATACAGTGGAGGCTAGTCCACAAGAAACCTTCCACAACAAATCCAACCCTGAGACCCCAGGACGTCCGTCGATTTTTGGTGTGGGAACGTCACGCTTTCCATAGCAGAACCATCGAAACCTAAGAAACCCAGGGCACCCTGGAGGCAAGCAGGGTGTTTCTTGGCATTGTTCCCCACTGTATGTTTGAAGCTTGATATGTCGAGTCACTGCGCGGAGTGCGGGTAAGAAGTTTTCAACATGGGGCGTTCGTCTTGGCGCCGCGCGCACTCGCGTGACCATGATCCAACGGTTGCCCCCATGTTGGGCGTGCAATCATCAGAATGGGGATCTCCCACTGGCTACACGGATCTAAGGCGGCTCCTTGCCAAGATGGGACTCTCGTCAAAGATTTCCCCAGCTTGCTGCCCGAAGCACAGCACTGAACAACAGTTGCACGGATGGAAACGGGCCCTTCCCAAAATTGGGCGGGCGCTCCCTGGAGCATTCATTGTCATGGCCAGCGTCCTGAAATTGCGCAATTGCTTCATGGGGGAATGTCTATTCAAGGCGGGGCTGTTCCTGGGCACGCCACTGAGCTGCATGGCCCCGCATGTTCGCGCTCCTTGTAAGTCGCATGATGGAAGGGCAACTTCTTTCGAAACGGGGCTTCCGCCTGACGCGCTGGCCCATCCCATGGGGCGCTCGTCCACCCCTCCCCCTCACCCTCCCCCCTCCCCCCCGCCCGTCCTCCTCCTTCCTCCTTTCGCCCCCACCTCCCGACACCCGCTCTCACCACCCCCCTCCACCTCCTCCTCTTGATCAGTGGTTCCAATATGGGTTCCTAGGGGATGGGGCCCTAAAGATGAGGTGTCTCACCCAATGTGCGTACATCCACCCTTGGATCCCTTCCTATCCGCAGGACCCCATCCCTCAGGACCACATCTATGAACCACCGACCTGAGTCGACGTCTCCGAATGGTGTGGTTTGCAAAGGGTGTGGTCTGCAACCAGCACCCTGCCCTGGGAGGCACCCTGAGAGGCGGGCGAGGACCTCGACAGAGCTCTCCACCGCGCCAAGGAGGCCCAACGAAGACAGCGTCGTGCTACCCAGGCCCCATCGGTCCCAATCGCAAAGCACACCCCGGCGTACGGCAAGTCCGTGTCGTGTCGACCCCGGCGCTGGTCTCTGACACCATGGGGATCGTTCGCCTTTGAATGACTGGCCGCTTCCGGAACGTCAGACCGCTCACCATCCGCGGATTCTGGAACGCCGAACGGGGGAGAGGAGGAGGAGGGGGGAGGAGGAGGCGGGAGGGAGGAGGGGGGAGGGGGGAGGAGGAGGAGGAGGAGGAGGAGGAGGAGGAGGAGGAGGGAGGAGGAGGAGGAGGAGGAGGAGGAGGAGGAGGAGGAGGAGGAGGAGGAGGAGGAGGAGGAGGAGGAGGAGGAGGAGGGCGCTGGCGGCGCTCCTCGTGGAGCGCCGACGGCGGGGCCGCCGCCGGTCGACACGACACGAGCCTGCCGTTAACCATGCCCTCTGTCTTAGGTCGGGCCTGCCCCCCTACGTACAGGATGATGTTGGGCGGAGAATGAAAAATACTCCAAAAGCCCCTCCCCAATGGGCAAAAGCAGTTACAAAAAAATCGTCCCCAGGATATCTGTTCTTACTGCTTTTGCGCATTCCCCTTGTGGAGGGACAGGCCCGACTTACCCTTTATGGTCGCGGACCTTCGGGGATCTTCTGACCCAGGTCGATCCAGACCAGGGTCAGCAGGATACCAAAAAACTGCAATGCAGAGAAACAAATTGCAACGCAAGTCTTCGCAAACCCAGGTCAACCAATGTGCGCGGCCGCCTCGCGGCCACGAGCGGCTCGCTGAACCGGGTCAGCCAGAGGGGGTCTTCCCAGGAGCCTGCAGGATCCGGTGCCCTGGCTGACCCCCGTTTGCACTGAACCCCCGTCTCGAGGCTCCCGAGACCTGCGGCCCTCCATCCCCCCGCGGCCGTGGCCGCGGCCGCGCCTCCCGGACACGCCGCGCCGCCGCGAGGCGCGCCGCTGGCGGCGCGCCCGCGCCTGCGGAGCTGGCAGCGGCCCCGGGTGTTGCGCGCACAGCACCGCTCGCGGGGAGCGGGCCAGAATCATGCTCAGGATCATCATGACCATCATGGGCATCATGATACTCATGATCAGCATGAACATCATCATCATCATCATCATCATCATCATCATCATCATCATCATCATCATCATCATAATCATCATCATCATCACCATCACCAGTATCATCATCATAATCATCATCATCCTCATCATCATCATCATCATCATCAGCATCGTCATCAGTATCGTCATCATCATCACAAACACCATCATCACCACCATCATCATCACCGCCATCATCATCACCAGCACAGTCGCCATTGCAACTTTCAACAGTATCATCAGCAACACCATCATAATCATCTGCATCACCATTATCATCATCATTCTCATCATCATCACCATCATCAGCATCATTATCATCGTCGTTTGTATCACCATCATGAGCACGTTCATGTTCATCATCCTCATCATCCTCACCATCACCATCATCCTCAGGATCACCACCGTCGTCATCATCATCGTCCTCATCCTCATCACCGCCACAATCACCGTCATCCTCATAGTTATCGTTGTCGTCATCATCAAGAGCTGCACCAGCATCAGCATCAGAAACAACATCCGAATCAACATCAACTTCAACATCAACATCATCATCACCATCACCATCACCGTCACCGTCACCATCATCACCATCACCACCACCATCACAATCACCATAACCATAACCGTCACCACCATTACTCGAATCAACAAGATGATGGTGATGACCATCATCATCATCATCACAATCATCAGTATCATCATCATCGGCATCGTCATCATGACCGTCATCATCATAATCGGCATCATCGTCGTCATCGTCACCGTCATCGTAATCATGATCATCAGGTTCATCATCCTCAGCATCAGCATCAACATCATCACCATCGTCATTGTCGCCATCAGCAGTAGAATCAGCATCCTCATCGTCGTCATCACATCAGTATCAGCATCGTCACCAGCATCATCATCATCACCACCAACATCATCATCATCACCAACATCATCATCATTATCATTAGCATCATCACCATCACAATCATCATCATCAGCATCAGCATCATCATCATCATTATCATCATCACCATCATCATCATCATCATCATCATCATCATCATCATCTTCAATATCATCATTACCATCTTCATCATCCTTACCGCCATCGTCATCGTCATCATCAGCATCAGCATTGGCAACAACAGCATCAACATCATCATCACCATCACCATCACCGTCACCGTCACCATCATCACCATCACCACCACCATCACAATCACCATAACCATAACCGTCACCACCATTACTCGAATCAACACGATGATGGTGATGACCATCATCACCATCATCACAATCATCAGTATCATCATCATCGGCATCGTCATCATGACCGTCATCATCATAATCGGCATCATCGTCGTCATCGTCACCGTCATCGTAATCATGATCATCAGGTTCATCATCCTCAGCATCAGCATCAACATCATCATCATCGTCATTCTCGCCATCAGCAAAATAATCAGCATCCTCATCGTCGTCATCACATCAGTATCAGCATCGTCACCAGCATCATCATCATCACCACCAACATCATCATCATCATCATCACCAACATCATCATCATCATTATCATCATCATCACCATCATCATCATCAGCATCAGCATCAGCATCATCATCATCTTCATTATCATCATTACCATCTTCATCATCCTTACCGCCATCGTCATCGTCATCATCAGCATCAGCATCGGCAACAACAGCATCAACATCATCACCACCACCACCATCATCATCATCGGCATCATCGCCACGATCATCAACCAGCGCTCGTCGTCTCATCCAGGGCCGCGGGTGGACATTGAGACGCTAGGGAGCCTCCTCAAAACGTTTCTGGGCCTCCGAGGGGGTTCGTGTTCGGCTCGTATGGGCGGTCTTGGTGCTCTCGTGAAGCTATTTGGGGCAAGCAAACGCCACATTCCTATAACATCCCCAAATCCCACAGAATCCAACGGACCTATAGCAGCTACGCTCGGCTTCAGAAACAATACTTGGTAACATCAGGGCCTATGCGGATGGAATTGGAATCAACACATGGACTGGCTTGCGGATCTGTGGGTGCTCTTTTGGGACGTCTGAGTGTTCCCCAACCGTCTCGGGCTCATGTTGGGGCGTTCTGAAGCTGTCCGGGGCTTTCTTCGGGCATGGCGGCGCCGTCTGTGGGCCCTCCGACACAACTGCCCTCAAGAAAACAACATCGCAGCTAACTCACAACCGCTTGCCTTGTTCTGGAGACTCTGACTGCCTGTGAACTCTCTCGGGACTCCTTTCGGCTACACGCAGGAGTGACCCTGGGTAAGAGTGACCTTTGGTGAGCGACTTTTTGGGGGTCGCGGGGCGACCAAACCTGGGCGCGCAAGCAGCTGCTACTGCCTCGGTTTCGGCCATTTGGGGACCCATCTGTGCCCGCACCATAGATCACTCCGGCGAAAGGTCACTCTTACGCCTAGCCGATCCTTGGACCGTCTCGGTGGCCTCCCCGGGCCGTCCTGGGTCCTCTGTTGGCGCGCGAGCCTCCCGCCGAGGAGCAGGGCGCGGGCGGTAGCCGAACCCCTGCTGCCCCGACGGGGCCCTCAGTCGCGGCTCGGGTGCCCAAGCGCTGGCAGCACGTCCACGCGGGCTGGGAGCGGCCGCTGCGAGACAGGTCATTTCAAGGGGCCCAAGGACACACACATAAATACACACAAAGAACATGATTCCCCATATTTCCCCAATATGTTATGGGTTTTTGTCTTCCCCCCCACTTCTCATGTTTTCCAATATTTTCTTGGGGATCGACGATTAATGTGGCTGTGTTTTTTCCCCCTCCTGGTCATTGCTCTGGTCAAGCAGCTCACTTGCCCGCTGTCCCTCTGTCTGGGGGGCCGCATGCGAACCCTACCCCTACCTCCCAGATGTCTGAAAGGGAGGGTGGGGTTCACTTCGCTCGGCTCCCGAACGAAGTGAACCCCGCCCTCCTCCCCAGAAATCGTGGGGGGCAAGGGTAGGGTTCGCATGTGGCCCCCTAGTGCAGCGAGCGCGCATATGAATCAATCATTGCAGGCCCGACTGCACTCTCAGAGTCTGGCAGTCGGCCCCTGAAGTGAGACTCGTCGTGATGGGATTGCCTGCCTGGGCGCGAACGGCCGCCGGGCGGGGCGAACCTCCGAACTCTCCTAGCGAACGAGCAGGAGGGGGCTGAGCAGGATGAGAGGGAGTGGAAGAAAGAGGGGAGCGGCGAGTGGGGCCACGGCTGCCGTTGTCAAAGGCGACGTCGCGCATCTCGGGCTGTGGACAAGCAGGTCGCTCGAACGGACCGCGACCTGCAATCTTTGGCCATCTGCCTCGCGCCAGGCGCGCCTGGCAGCCGCTCGGCTCGGCAATGTTTTATTCACGTGGTGCAAGCCGAGTCCCCGGGGAGCTTTTGGCCCGACGCACAGCCGCACAGGGAAACGCAGCGCCAGCTGCGGACATCTGCTCATGCAGGCCGCTCGCCTGGACAGCGATCCACAAGCTTTGGCAGTCCTCTTGAACCAAATTGGAAACCTCTTGAGCGCCCACTAAGCACCCACCCCTGACCGCGTCTCGCGGCCGGGGGAGGCGATTCGGGACACCCGGCTGCCCGCCCGCTGCCACTTCCTCCCTCCTCCCTCCCCCTCTCGCTCCTCTTCGTATTACTCCCCCCGGCATTCGTGCTTTGCGTCCTGCCTGCCCCTCTCGTCTTGCACATGATGCTCTGCATCCCTGTCCCCTTACGACTGCCTCTTCCTTCCTAATGCGACTCCTCCTCCTTTTTCTGTTCCTCCTCCTCCTCCTCCTCCTCCTCGTCCTCCTCCCCGTCCCTCGAATTTCTTTCCCCCTCTTCCTACAGAGGGCAATAGCCCGAGGGCACCAACCGCCAGCGACGGCGAATCGCAGCAAGCAAAAGCCGCGAGAATTAGGAATGTTGACGGCGAGTAGGGCGTCCGACGCCCAGTGCCGCATCCCGGCCTGGGTCCGAATCGACACTCCCGGGAGCCTCTCAGGGAGTTCTGTGCAGGAGGGCGTGCACGTGAGGCCCCTATGGCGCCAGTGGGCATCGCCGAGGGAGGCATCTAGCTCGGAAGCGATGTCCCCGGAAAAGCTGCTCCAAGAACGACATGGAAGGTCTAGCCGCGTGGCCTCCGCGAGGCTTCTGGTGGCTCTTGGGAAGCCTCAGGAGCCTATTCTTAGCATTTCGGGGGCCACTCTGACGCGAATTCGTACGACGATGATTCGATAGCGGCGGCGGCGGCGGCGACGACGACCACGGACAACGATGACGACGACGGGCGCGACGATTCGACGACGACGATAACGACGACGATGCAGCGGCGGCGGCGGCGACGACGACAACAGACGGCGGGCGCAACGATTCGACGACGACGACGACGACGACGACGGCGGCGGCGGCGACGGCGGCGACGGCAGAGGCGTCGGCGACGACGGGCGACGGGCGCGACGGGCGCCAGACGACGACCTCGGCGGCGGCGGCGATCGAGGACCAAGACGAGGACGCCAAGGGCGGCGTCGACGACGACGGCGGCGCGCCTCCCACCTCCGCGCCGACGGCCTCCAGCCGCTCCAGCAGGCGCGCGTCGAGGAGGTCGCCGCCCACCGCGCAGTCCTCCCCGCACAGGGGGCGCTTCGCGCCCAGTCGCCCGCGTCGCCGTCGGCGTCGCCGTTCGGCGGTGCCGTCGGCCTCGTCGTCGGCGTCGGCGCCGTCGGCGGCATCGTCGTCTTCGTCGTCGTCGTCGTCGTCTTCGTCGTCTTCGTCGTCGTCGGCGTCATCGTCGGTGTCGTCGGCGCCGTCGTCGGCGGCGTCTTCGGCGGCGCTGGTACTGCACTCGGCCACGAGGGCAGCGAGATCGCGCCAGGGCACCTCGCGCTGCCTGGCGTGGGCTCGAGGCAGCATGCGTTCTCCGCCTGAGGCAGGCTGTGCGGGCGAGCGCAGACGAAGGAAACACCCAAGATGAGTAGCCAAAAATAGACCCCTAACCCTTCGGAAGGGGACCTAAGCTAGGAGGGCCAGGAGCATCAGGGATGGAGGGGTCTTTCCCTGCAGATGTCTCGAACCAAACCGCCCATGTGTATCAGCCCTGATGCGAAAGCGGGGACCCCAGTGAGGTCACGCCTTCGTCGTATTATCAGGGTCAGGGGTTATCCAGTCCTCGATGAGCAAAGCGGCGCGCCAGCGACTGGCGCAACAAAAACACATGCCGCGCGGCGACGTTGGTACCGCGCCGCCAGCCCCAACGACGCGGCCGATCATGCCGCACACAGTCGTGGCTCACGCGCGGGACGGCAGCGGCCACGAGCGCCAGGGAGAGATCCCGCCAGATACGCCAGGGGAGGAGGCGCGCAGGGCCATGGCGTCGACGACGTGAGAAAAAAACGGCGACATCAAGACGGCCCAGCCCCGAGTCGTCATCAAGGCAATGCTCGAACCATGAGACGAGCTCCGGGGTATATTTCGCGGGACAACGGCACGAGCACACACACAAGCAGTTTGGCCAGTTGCTAGGGGCATGGTGAGTGGGGTCCGATGGTGCAATGCTGCAACAGATCGCAATGCGGCAAAACAATCATGGCGGTGGCGGGGCAACTGCAGGGCGGAATTCCATTGAATGAGCCCGCGCCCAACGCCAGCAAACATGTACCTTCCAGGTACTGTGGGCGCTTTCATATGGCATTGTGAAGCGCAACCCCGAGCGTGTAGCTCACCCTCCTGAGCTCGCGCTCTGCTGTGGAGTATGCCGCTTGGCGAGGGGGCGCTCCCATCCTGGCTGGGTATGTACACGCCCCCCACCCTTCCCCGCTGATTGCCAATCCCCCCCCCTCATGCCGCTGCTGCTGCTGATGATCCGTCCCCCGTTCACTTCCGTGTCCTCCTCCTGCTCCTCCTCCTCCTCCTCCTTCTCCTCTTCCTGCTCCTCCTCCTCCTCCTCTTCCTCCTCCCTTGCATCTCCCCTCATACCCTCTTCTGCATCCTCCTCCGCCTTTTTCTCCTCATTCTCTTCCGCCTCATCCTTCCTATTCCTCTCACCCATGTGGAAGGAGAGGGACGTGGAGGAACTGGCTTGAAACAAGAAGACCTAACACTACTTCACGGCGGCGCCCAGACCTAATGATTTAGCTTGTGCATCTTCCATTATCCGAGACAGGGGGCCGGCGGCATGGGGCGAAACCCTTACGGATAATATGAGCAATACCGCTAGTACTACATGCCCACACAAAAAACACGGGCAGCTCCCTTGAAACCTTGCCAGAAACCGTGCCATCGTCACAACAACTACCAATCCCTGTGGAAACGCGCTGCATTCAAGTAGCGGGTGTACAGAACCAACGACAACCTCGCGTATCCCAACCCTTCTCCTCGCGAGTTGACTATTCAAATGCATGCTCCAAGCTCCATGCAAAAAGACCACGTTGCGTGGACAATCTGCTCCGCTGCTCCGCTGCTCCGCTGGACCTCCCAGGAACACACGACAATGGCAACAATTGCACACTTCGCAGCCCCCCAGGGAGACGCTGGGTCTCGACTGGGTCTGCGTGCTCCCCACTACGCGCGGGCTCCCGGGAACCCGAAAGTGGCGACACTTGCGCAGCCGTGGGGTCTCGGCTGGGTCTGCGTACTCCCCCACTCCGCTGGACCTCCCAGAAGCCTACGAAAACGGCGACAATTGCGCGCCTCGCTGCCCAACTGCCCCCCAGGGAGCCGTGAAGTCTCGGCTGGGTGTGCGTACCCTCCTACTCGTCCATGCCTCCCAGGAGCACACGGAAAATGCGGCACTTACTAAGTTCTCAGCTTCCCGAAAAGTCAGGACGACGGAGGACGAGAGAGGCAAGAGGCTAAGAGAAGGAGGGACCAGGAAGGGGAGGTGTTTGGAGACAACATTGCTCGATTCAAAACGAGAGCCTAACACAGAAGGGCGCGAAAAGAAGATTAAGGTAGCGACAGGGCGGCCAGGAAGCATCACAACCACACATGCCCTCCATTCTTCACGCACGACGCGCCGATGGCGTCAATCTCGAATGACGAAGCATTTCTGGCCCCGCCCCAATTCCCGCGGGACCGTGGTTCCCGACCAAGTTGCGAGCCGCACAAATTACGATACCACTGCCGGATGTTGATCACTCCACGAAAGGTCCTTGTGGTCCCGGGGTTGGGCCCGAAACGGTGGGTATGAATCTGTCCATCGATAAAGGTATAGTCCATTCAAGATCCCCCGATTCGCGGACCCAAAGCGAATCTTGTCTTACTGTACACGGGTGGGGCGGGTGACGTGGACGTAGAGGAAGGTGTTAACGGAGGGGCGGGAAGGCGGGCGGGCGGCTCGCGGGCGGGCGGCGGGCAGGTCAGGATTTGAGTCGACTCCCTAAGGATTCTCTCTTGCAGCGGGAGCCTGTTGAGTACTGGGTGTTGTCTTGGAGACAAGAGATGTTGAGTGCAAGGCGTTGTCTTGGATACGGAGCCTGTTGCGTACAATGCGGTACTACATGCAACACGAAAGGCGGGCGGGCGGGCGGGCGGGCGGCGGGCGGGCGGGTTGGGATGTTAATAGGCTCCTGAAGGGTTCGCTATTGCAGCGGGAGCCTTTTGGGTACTGGGTGTTGTTACGGAGACGGAGGCTGTCGACTACAAGGTGTGGAGACAGAAGCTGTTGAGTACAGGGTTGCGCATGCTATACGGAAGGCGGACGGGCGGGCGGAGAGCGGGCGGGCGGGCGGGCGGTGGACTTGCGGATCGGGATTTGAATCGACTCCTTACGGGTTATCTCTTGAAGCGGGAGCCTGTTGAATACTGGGTCTTGTCTTGGAGATGGAAGCTGATGACTGCAGGGTGTTGCCTTGGAGACGGAGGCTGGCCCCTCAAGATTCATGGAGCTTGAAACGGACGGGTCATTCGAGGACCCGCACGTGAACGTGGATATTACGCAAACTGCGTGGGGGGTTCTTGAATAGACGATACCCGTATAAAGTTGATGTGCAAAGGCATGTGTGTATGTACATGTATGTGTACACATACAGACACATGCATATGTGTAGGTTTGTGTGTATGTGCATATGCATATGCATGTGTACATTACATATCCAAAGGCATACATTCCAGACGACATACATGGTATACCAGGTCTCACAGATTTCTGCCTAGCCAATGCACCTATATACATAGATACAGTATCATATATATAGTACATGGATACAAATACATATGCACCTATATACCTTGTCCTCCTCCTCCTCTCGCTACCCAGACTTCCAACGTCGTTGCACCTCTTCCTCCTCCTCTTCCTCCTTCTCCTCTCTCCCCAGAATTCTCACGTGGATACCTGGAGGTCTGGATTTACTTCCCGGGGCTGGGTACCCCGAAGTTCTTCGTTGACGGCCCCTGGGCCCTGTGAGTGCCCCCAGAAGTCCCAACTTGGATCAATCCTCCGTCGCCCCTCTTAGCAAAGCGATGACGTCGTCGTCGTCATTCCTGTACATTCATCGAACTGGCTTTGTCAATCCGCGCTCCAAAAAGTCCCGACCGTTTCCTTGGGGTCAGTTCGGCGCCCCGATCCATTTCTGATGGCCTTGGGGCTACACGATGGCCCCAGAGGCCGAAATCAAGGAAACACGCCCGGATTGAATGACAGCAAAGATGAAGACGCGGGTCGAGGAGTAGCATGTCGAGACACAGTTATGAACACCAAAGTGATTTGTTCCAACGAATCGTGGCCAACCAGACCAGTGGTGCAGCTGGCATTGAAGCGATAACACTATTCCTGTGATAAGTGGTGAAGAAGTCTCAGGCCAAATGGCTGCTGGACCAGGCGTCCCCGAAAAATTGACATTCAGCCACACCTAGCGGCCGCTACTGGCTCCGAGAAATACCATTTAGTGGCACTTAGTGGCCGCTAGCGGCTCCGAGAATTACCATTCAGTGGCACTTAGTTGCCGTTAGTGGCTCCGAGAATTGAAGTGCCATTTAGCGGCACTTAATAGCCCGAGATCTACTATTTAGTTGCACTTAGTGGCCGTTTGTGGTTCCAAGAACTACAATTTAGAGGCACTTAGTGGCCGTGCAGCCCCATTTGGGCCACGGGCATGTCAATCAGGGCTCGGGGTCGCCGACCTCCGTGAAACCACGGGCGCGTGGGTGAGACCGCCCGCCCCATCGGGACCGCAAGCGTTCGTGCCGCTAAGTGCGGCCATCTTCAACAAAAATACCAATTCGAAGACATTCTACAATTCCCCAACTCGGCCACATAATCGAACCATTACTGGAACCCTTCTGCGAAACGCCATTGGGGAAACGGCAACATCGTGTGAAATCACGACGGGAACGGAACACCAGACCCCACTTTCCCGCTGCTCCTTTCAAATCCCCGGCCCCGAAGCAACGCAAAACATCGCCGGCTGTAACAACAAAAAACACCAGGACCCCTGGGAAGGAAGCTCCCCCCGCGAGGGGCGTCGTGTGAATCTTGCGGAAATGCCGTCCGCCGAAATGGCATTAGGAAATCGTATCGTCGACGATGTGAGTTCTTGCCCCAGCTCCCGTTGAAGCGGCCAGCCACAAGGGGGGGGGGTCCAGCACGCGCTCTGGCGCCACCCAGCCCTCCGCAACCACCGCGCAGCAGCTGTGGGAGGCGCCCACGTCCAAAACCACGGCTGTGGTGTGGCCTGCAGCGTCCCCCCCCCCCTCCCGTCCCCGCGGGGCGCCGCTCGGGGAGGACGCAAGAGATCTTTGAGCATGTGACGATCGTTATGAATTCAGGCTCTGGTGCGATCGATGTGTACACGATTTACCGCAGGTGGCATGGGCGGAATCGCAGCAGCGCTTCCCGACCTCCGCAGCCATCGAGCGACGCTCAAAAAAAGGTCTTACGCGAGATGACGGAGCGACCGTACGCGGTGACTTACGCGGGCCGCCAGCGCCGCAAATCACGTTGGAGACGAAGGCGCTCACGCGCGACCTTTCGCGGGCAGCTTACGCGACGATGTCGGAGCAGACGACCCCATTATTCGTGTGCGTCGCTCATTTGCCTCAGAGACCCCAAACAGGACCATGCTAGCATCATCCCACGAATTGTACGCTTGCGCTGGGTCGAACAGCAAACCGCACAGAGGGGCGCCCAACATTGGGAAACAGGATGGTTAGGACTGAATTCGTGGCAAGGTTTTCAACAATGACACAGGGCGAGTTAGCCCGACCAGGGGGGTGCTGAGCCGGACTGACCTGAATGAGGATGGATAGAGCCCGAGGCCAAGCCGAACCAAGCGAGATTAAGCTGAATCCGTCATAATGTTGCTGGATCAAGCTGGTTTCCGGCCACGGATGTTTTCTATGTCAGCGCTATCCAGGCGGGGGGGAGGGGGAGCGGGCACAGCAGCACGATGACGCTCTCGGCGACGGATGTACCACCGCCCATGCTGAAGCTCACCTTTCAGAGATCGCACCCTGACAGGGGAGAGTGGGGGGAGCAAGATGAGGGAGGAGAAGGAGGAGCAGGAGGAGGGGGGAGGGACAAGCTATGTGCGCTCGCGTCATATCTGACGTCCTAACCCTCCCTCCCATCCCTTACCATGGCGCTGATTTTCTCTATCCGCGGACGCGTGTCGTAGCGGACCTGTGGCTCCGCGCGCGCGTGCGTAGTGGGTGGTGGTGCGCGTGCGTGCGTGCGTGCGTGTGTTGCGTGGTGTGTGTGGTTGTGGTTGTGGTTGTGGTTGTGGTTGTGGTTGTGGTGGTGGCGTGTGCTGTGGTGTGACGTGGTGTGGCGTCTTGGTGGTTTGGTGGTGGGCCAGGTGCGTGCGTGCGTGATGGCGGTGGTGGTGGTGGTGGCGGTGGTGGTGGTGGTGTGTGTGGTGTGTGTGTGTGTGTGTGGTGTGTGTGTGTGTGTGCGTGTGTGCGTGCGTGCGTGCGTGCGTGCGTGCGTGCGTGCGTGCGTGCGTGCGTGTGTGTCTGTGTGCGCGCGCGTGTGATGTGGTGTGACGCGGTGTAGCGTGGTGGTGGTGGGTGGGGTAGTGGGGTGGTGGTGGCGGTGCGCGTGCGTGCGTGCGTGCGTGCGTTGGTGGGTGGAAGTGGCGGTGGGCGGGGCGGGGCGCGGTGCGGTGGTGGCGGGCGGATGGGCGCGCGAGAAAGAGGCCCGCGCTGGGGCGAGAACGCCATCCTGAACGACGGAGGCAAAACACCGATCCGAAAATGAGACCCACGCTGCAGCGGGAGCACGATTCGGAACGAGCGGGGCCCGAAAATGAGGCCGGCGCCTCAGCGAGAGCAGCATTTTGAAAAACAAATGCAGGCGAAAACCCAACTCCCGGGAATCCTGTGTAAAAAAGCAAGACGCGAGGGGGGCGAACACTCCCAGCACCTCATCAGGGGAAGAGGGAGAGTGGTATTCATATTGAGTAATTGTGAAGAGGCATGGGAGGAGGAGGGGGAGGAGGGGGAGGAGGAGGAGGAGGAGGAGGAGGAGGAGGAAGAGCAGGATAGGGGTGGGGGGCAGGCTGGGTGCACACGCGCGCGCCATGTCTGACATCTTACCACCTGCCACCCACCCGATCACACTGCGCTGCACTTCGCTCCGCCTCCTCACCGAGGCACGCCTCTTCTTGAGGCCTCCCAGATGGGGTCGGAGCGGATGGGGTCAGAGGATCGCGCCGCATGTCGGAGTAGATGAGATCAGAGAGCGCCGCATCGCAGATGCATGGGCGATGTACCGGCGATGCATCGGTGATGTATAGGCGACGTCGGCGATGCATGGGCGACGTCGGCGTGTAGAAGTGTGACTCCACATCGAGCCGCACTGCCGCATGCTCTGGCGACCGATGCGAAGCGATCCCTGGACCCCATCTACTCGGACCCCAGATTTGGGATTGGCGGCGAGCGAGGGGGGAAGCGAAAAGGAGAAGGTCTTCTCAGAAGGCGGCGGAACCTCTCAGAAGGCCTTGCGCCTTCTGAGAAGCTTTCTGCGTCTCCTGGAAAGGCTCAGACAAATTCTCAGAAGGCCAAGGAACTTCCGAGCCTTCTGAGAAGGCCCGCCCCTGATCACTTCCCCCCCTCGCTCGCCGCCGACATCTGGGAGGCCCAGAGCTTCTGGCCGCTCACGCCGTTCGCAGGAAGGTCCCCACCGCACGACGCTGGTGGCACCAAAGCTGCCTGGAAGCCCTCCCCTGATACTGCTGCTCCGACCTGGACCCCTGACCCCCACCAGCTTCGCGGTTTTTTGGCGGCGCGCCCAAGGGGGTAGTTATGGGGGAGGGGGAACAAGCTTCTTAGAGGAATGCTGCTTCTTAGAAGGCGCTGGCCCTACATCTACAGAGAAGGCCCGCGCCTTCTAAGAAGTCAGGGTGCCTCTAAAAAGCCTACCCCCCTCCCCCATTCCCGCCTCTGCGCGTGGCCGAGTGCTGAGCAGCAGCACTGGCAGGAACAGGCCCACCCAACCGAAGACCCCAACCAAGAGGCGGCGCCACTCGACCAAATGGGGCATCTTGCGATATGGCTCACTGGATCACTGATCTGGTCATCCGACAATTCACACGTCTGATCCGGTGATCTGGTGGCCCGGTTCATTGAATCACTGATCCGGTAATCTGGTCCAATGTGTCACTGATCTGGTGATCTGGCCGCCTGCTGGCTCCGTAGAGGCCCCATAGGCAGCCCCAAGACCCGCTAGGCTCCCAAGATTTAAGTTGTTCCCATTGTACTTCAAGGCCACATCCCAGACAGAATTTCGAGCACCCGGAGAAGTATCGAAACGATGTCTGCTCGATTCGCTAGCGAAGTGTCGCGCGAACATCGCCTCCTCCCAAAGCCAGGCACATGAAAACCGTCCAGTAGCGGTACTTTCCTGGTGCTCGAAACCCTTGCTGATGATCTAGGCCAAAGTAGGCTGGAACATCATAACTCCAGATGCCCCGAAGAGGTCCCCGAGAGGCTCCCAAGAGGCCCCGAAACCTACCCCCCAAAGGCCCCAGAGAGCGTTCCGAGGAGACCCTGAGATGCATCCCTGAGGACCCTGACCCACAACCCAGGCACGATGGCAAAATGGGCCGAATGCAATTCGATTAACCAAAAAGACTCCTGGCCGGATGCAGGATGCATCCAGAAATCCGCGCGGACCTTCGAAGGTTTGTGATCATGCCATCCTTTCTCTTCGACAATCGCTCCCACGAAGGCGAGGACCTTCCTGTGGAGCGGATGCCAACCTGGTAATGCTTCGGGTTGGGGTGTCGAGACCGTCCTGGACTACTCGGGGGGCCTGCTGAGGCCAGCTTGGACTACCTGAAAGAGCTATCCATGCAGAATCGCCCAACGTCGAATCCTGAAATCGGATCGAAACGACATGTGCGTCGGATCGGGCTGCATCGGCGCGGAGTCGAAGTCGAATCGGCTCGGCCGCGCCGAAATGCACAACAGCGCTATGCACGCATCGGACCGCATCGGAACGTCAGAACATCGGAATCGGCCCGGCCGAGCGGGCCAAAACCCAGATCGAACAAGCTCGATCGGATGAACATTGATGGGACTGTTTTCCACCACCACCACCACCACCCCCATAGGTTGGAGGGGGGAAGGAGGAGGAGGACGAGGAGGAGGACGAGAAGAGGAGGAGGAGGAGGAGGAGGAGGAGGAGGTGGAGAAGGAGGACCCCCTCCCCCGCCAACTTATGGTGGTGGTGGTGGTGGTGGAAAACAGGCCCATCAAACATGGGCCCTGCGCGCAACCCGAAGCCTGACCATTCGGCCCCCTACGGGGCGCTCCGGGGGCGGTGCGTCGCCGCTTCTCCCCGAACCAATCCGGGGGCGCGTCCTGACAAGGACTTCGAGGCGAATCCAGCGATGGCGATGACGGCCTCCCAAGAGGCCCAAAAAGATGGGAAAACGAGGGAAACGGTAGCGTTTTCCTCCTCCGATGAATTCGCTCCCTCGTGGTGGCCGTGGGTCGGTCTCCTCACCTGGGCGAATCCAGACCCGGGTCAGTCCGGCTTTGCAGGACCCTGCAGGAACCTGCAAAATCCTGCAGGATCCTGCAGTTTCCTGCACCTAAGCCCGGGTCAGTGCGCCCCTAGTTCTGCAAGATCCTGCAAGGTCCGGCGCTCTGACTGAGCCCCGTATGCAATGACCCCCGTCCCAAGGCTCCCGACAGGGCACCGTTTGGCCCTTCCCAGCCGTGGGCGTAATTTGGCGCTGAAGGAGGCCCTCTTCGCCAGAAAGGCCCTCGGACCCGGCCTGGGTACCCTTCGGCCCCTCCCGGCCGTGGGCGTAGGCGCTGAGGGAGGCCCTCTTCGCCAGGAAGGCCCTCGGCGCTCCCAGGCTCTCGAAGAGCACGGCGGCAACCTCCCGCCGCATGGCGGCCGTCGCCTGGGAGGCGAGGAAAGGCGTCCCGGGGGAGGGGGGGACCAAGGGGGGCTCGAGGAGAGGAGGATACAGTCGTGCCGAGGTATGAGATCGAGGTCGGTTCGGGGAGGGTGCCCTCATGCTCTTCGTGTCTGATGGACTTTATTGTGCATCCTGGGGAGCGTACTACCCTTGGATGCTCTGTGTGTTCTGGCTGGAGGAGGGTCCCATATTCTTGAAGGATGTTTTTCTGTCCCGGGTCCGACTGTAGTGAACAGCCTCCTCCGCCGTTGGGCGCGAAATCATGGGGGGACAAAAAAGGGGGGGAAGGTGCCCTTTGCGGATCCCAGAATGGCCCTTCTAGGCCCCAAACGGCCCCTTTGGGGCCCCTCCAGGGCTCCTTTTCTGCAAACCTCGCTGCCCCCCCCCCCCCCCCCAGGATAGTGTTAGGTCGGGCGTGTCCCCCTCCAGGCGGATATTGGACGGAAAATGAAACATAGCCAAAACATGCGCCAAAATTGCGAAAAGGCACAGCATAGTCCCCAGACTATTTGGTTGACGATCTCTGAATACTCGCCCTGTGAAAAAGGAACGTGCCTGGCTTGAGGACAGTAAGCAGCATCCCCCGCTGGGCAGCCCAGCCCGCCTGGGGCCCGCGCGGTGGCGGGCGGAGGCCGTCCATCCGCTGTTCCTGGATGGCAGAAGTCCGGCGCCTATAAACCAGTGGGACCGCTCTCCTGAGCAGTTCTTTGACGGCCTCGCGGCCCGGCGAGTGCCCCCAGATGCCGACTGCTCCTCCTCCTCCTCCTGCTCCTGCTCCTCCTCCTCCTCCTCCTGTCCTCCTCCTCCTCCTCCCTCCTCCTAGATGGCAGAAATCCTGCCCCTATTACACCAAACAAATACCCAATCAATCGATGGTTTGAAATGGGATCGATAAATAAAGAGATCGATAACGAGATCGAGCGAGAACCCGGGAACCCAGAACCCACTGAACTCGGTCCAAAACTTATAACCAGGAACCCAAGAACCGGGAACCCGGGAACCCAACGGGCCACCAACATCGGCGGGAAACTTTCGGCAAATCTTTCAATTTCCGCTGGGACCCCTTCAGTGCAAGCACTGATTGAGGAATAATGCAATGGAGGCAAGTCCACAAGAAACCTTCCATGAGAAACCCAACCCTGAGACCCCAGGACTTCCATTGATGTTTGGTGTGGGAGCGTCACGCTTGCCATCGCAGAACCATCGTAACCCAAGAACCCCCCGGGCACTCTGGAGGCAAGCAGGGTGCCTCTTGGCATGGGCCTCCACTGTAAGCACCCCGGCAAGCGAGGCCGTTGAGTAAAAACGCATCCAGGGAAGAAATCGAAGTGGGCAGGGCTGTCTACAGTAAACGCCCAGGGCCGTCTGGTAAACGCCAGCTGTCGGGGTCTGGGTGGTATTTTCGGGGGCGCGCAAACACGGATTAGCGATCCATGGATTTGGCACGCGGTCGCCAAATTCATGGATCGGGGAAGGTGCCCCCCCCAAAATGCGGCCGGTGCCGCCTCGCTCGGCGGCGGCACTCGGCGATTTCCTATGGAAACGGGACCCGTCACAAATCCACGCCCCCTTGATCCATGTTTCTGATCACCTGAGTATAATAGAAACGCACCCAGGGAAGAAATCGAACAGGGTAGGGCTGTCTAGTAAACGCCCAGGGCCGTCTGGTAAACGCCAACTGTCGTGATCTGGGTGGTATCTCCGATGAGACTGTTTTCCACCACCACCACCACCACCATAAGCTGGAGGGGGGAAGGAGGAGGAGGGCGGGGAGCAGGAGGGCGAAGAGGAGGAGGAGGAGGAGGAGGAGGAAGAGGAGGAGGAGGAGGAGGAGGAGGAGGGGGGCGAGGAGGGGGACACCCCATCCATTTCCTTTCTGCAGTGGTGGTGGTGGAAAGCACGCCCATCGAATTTCTCCCTCCTGCACTGACGCCCGCAGAAGACGCTGCGGCGCACCCGTGGGCCGGCGCTCTCCCTCCGCGGCCCCGGCGGCGCACGGGGGGAGAGGGCGGGAGAGGCCCCCCCGCACGCGGGGCACGGCCTCCCCACCGTCCCCCCGCCGCGCCGAGCACGGGGGGAGCAGCACGCACACGAGAGCTCGAGGCTGTACAACAGGGCTCAACCTGAGCGGTGTTTGTCGTTTTCGTTTTGTTTTCGTTTTCCTTCGTTTTTCGTCTTCCGTCCGCCGTTGTCGCAAAGCGAAGCCAAAACGAGAACGGCCCACGAAAGGCACCAGAAACACTGTTCAGGTCCACCCCTGCTGCACAATCGAGACACCGCCAGGAGGAGCCCAACCCCACAAGGGGGGAAGAGGCCCCGCATCTCCACAAGAGCGAAAACTCGGTTCCCAGTCGAACAAAAAACAACCCAGGGGGCACCTCGGACAACGAACAGGGCTCCGTCCTCAGCGGCCCGACGGGTACGGACGATCGCGCGAGCGCCCGAGAACGTGGGCGCTCCGACGGGGAGGGCGAGCGCTCGTGCCCGCGGAGGGCGGGGCCTGGAGGCCGCTGCCCCGGGACCGAGGGCAAGGCTCGTCTGCAGGTGCAGGGCCGGCGCCTTCTGGGAAGCAGCCTCTATGGCTAAGTCGGGCGTGTCCCCCCACAGGGGGCTTTTCGACGACTTAAAAACAAAAAAATCAGAAAAATACACCAAAATGGTCGAACATACTCAAAAAATAATCCCCAGACTATTGTTTTGACTATGTTTGCATACTCCCCCTGTAGAGGGACGGGCCCGCTATGATGCCTTCCCTACGTCCCTCTATCCCACTGTGCTCGCCGCCAAATGACCGTGTCTACAGATGCAGGGCCGGCGCCTTCTAGGAAGCAGCCTCCTTCTATGATGCCTTCCCTGCTTCCCTCTACCCCGATGTGCTCGCCGCCAACCGAGACCGCCCTTCGCCTCCCGCGGCCCAGGCCAGGGTAGTCGGCAGCGAGCGAGGTGGGAAGTAAAAAGCAGAGGGCCCTCTCAGAAGGCGCGGGGCTTCTGAGAGGCCCTCCGTCCTGCTGGGAGGTGTTCGGTGCCTTCGGGGGACGCTTGGAAAACTTCCCACAATGCCAGGGAACTTCCGAGCTTTCTGAAATGGCCAGCCCCCTCTCGCTCCCAACCCCGGCTCGCCGCCGAGATAAGAAACCGCCTCGAGCTTGGGCGGCCGAGATTGAGATTGACAAGCCATTGAGATTGCCAAGCCCTTGAGATTGAGATAAGATATCCTTACCCTTGAAATAGGCAAGCCTAAAGGCGATGCGAATCTTAGACAAGCCCAAAGGCGATGCGAATCTTAGGGATGCGACCTCAGGCACACAGGGAACCCTAAGAAGACTTAAGATCGGCACCGCGCCAAGGTGCTGCCAATCCTCGGGATGGGGATCGGGACATGTTTCAGACCAGTGGCCTAGGACCGCGAAGCTTCGGGGGAACCGCCGCTGACCCGCGCGCCGAAATCCAGGCTCCGCGGGCGCGCAACCATGGATAAGAGATCCATGGATTTGGCTTAGGTCGGGATGTCCTCCTACAGGCAGATTTTAAGGAGAAAAACAAACACATGCTCCAAAGAGGACCAACACCAATAAACACACATCGTTCCCACATTATTTCTTTTACTGTTTTGGACAAAGCCTCCTGTGGAGGGAGACGCCCGACTTCAGGTTTGGCGCGCGGTCGCCAACTCCATGGATCGGGGGAAGCGCCCTCCCCAAAATGCGGCTGGTGCCGCCTCGCTCGGCGGCGGAGATCCGCGATGTCCCATGGAAACGGGGCCAGTCGCTAATCCACGCCCCCTGGATCCATGTTTGCGATCGCCTGAAAGTTTGAGCTTCCTCGGCGTCCACACCCCCCGTCCTCCTTGCGGGCGCTGCCCCTCCCAGCCGCCTGCGTCGGCTCGGCCACGAGCAGCGAGGGGCAGGAGTGGCCGGGGGCCGCAAAGGCCTGCAGGGCCGACCAGAGTCCTCCCTCCTCCTCCTCCTCCGCCTCCTCCTCCTCCTGCTCCTCCTCCTCCTGCTCCTCCTCCTCCTCCTCCTCCTCCTCCGTTTCCTCCTCCTCCCCATCCTCCTCCCGAGCCTTCCCTCCTTTGCCTCCTGCAGTGTCGGGCTCACCTCCTCGCCCTCCGCCATCTTTGTCGTTCCTCCAACTTCCTCTCCCTCATCATCATCTTCCCCTCCCTCCCCTTCCCTCCTCTTCACCCTGCTCCTACACATTCTTGCTCCGGCTCATCCTACATCACCTACTCTCACCCTCTTGATCCTCCTCCTCCTCCTCCTCCTCCTTGCTCCTCCTCCTCCTCCTTCCTCCTCCTCCTCCTCAGCCTCCCACATATGCTTCCTCCTCGTACGTTTTCTCCGTCGTCTCATCTCCCTCTGCCTCCTCGTCCCCCAATGCATCCTCCTCCTTTTCGGGCGCCAGGACAGGGTCGGAATCGCTAACACTAGGGCCAAGTGCCCTCCTAAAATTTACGTCCATGTCGATTTGTCCATTTCGACGAGGGCCTCTTGAGGGGAAAGCAAAAGGTATTGATACCGCTACTCCCCGGACCTCCCAAGGGGTGCGTGCTGACCAGAATCTGGAGGCGAATCCAGCGGTGGAGACGAGGGCCTCCCAGGAGGCCCAAACAGGGGAAACTGGGCGAAGGGTAGCGGTTTGGGTGCCTTTTCCTCCCCTGATCTTCAGGGCCCCTGGGATTCGTCCAAGAGGAGGCGACGCGTCCTTCTCCTCGGAGACGCTGGCAACGGCGACGGGGGCATCGACAACGGGGCAGAGGCGGGGAGGGCCTCGACGACAGGCGACGACGACGACGACGACGAGGCGAGGCGAAGAGGGGCAGATCGCGACGACGACGGGCGACGACGACAGGAGTTCATAGATCTCGGCTCGCTCCTCGAGGGGGGGCACGACTGAGGACGGCCCCTCTGGCAGGGGATAGCGCCGTGCTGCTGCGCCTCCGCCACCACTCTCCCTCCACCTCCTCCTCCCCGAACACCTCCCTGTTCCAACTTCTCGTCCTCCTGCTCCCTCCGTTTTCTCACCACCGCTTCCTCCTCCTCATCCGCCTGCTTCTCCTCCACGTCCTCACACGCACCCTCCTGCTCATCCTGCTCCCTCCTCGCACTCCTCCCGCTTCTTCTGCCTCCTCCTCCTCCACCTCTTCTTCCTCCTCCTCCTCCACCTCTTCTTCCTCCTCATCCTCCTCCTCCTCTTCTTTCTCCTCCTCCACCTCCGTCGTCCTCCCTCGTTCTCCTCCACCTCCATCTCCACCTCCTCCTCATCAGCATCTTCCTCCTCCTCCTCCTCCTCCTCCTCGTCAGCCCCTCCCCTCCTGCCTCGCACCCTCCCCTCCCCCGCGGAGCCTCGGGCGCGTGCGCAAGCCCGTGCCGCAAGCACGC